TGCTCCCTGTCCTTTTTCGACCCCGATCGTCAGGTCATCGATATGAATTAGAAGATAGCACACGGCGTCCTGTACACCGCGCAGCGTTTCGCCTCTTTTCGGTTGCCAGTACCCCTTCCCTGCTTTTGCGGGGCTCCCATTGAGTCCCTGGAACACCTTTCCTTTTATTGCCTGCTGGCTCAAAGTGTCCTCTCTTAGTTGCAGTCCCTCATGTTTAACTTATCTTTTATGTGTCCTGTCCTTCTTCGTCGTCATGTTCTTTTCGGCTTCAACTCCAACGCGTTAGTCGCCACTCCCCGTATTTTTGTCTACCTCTTAAACCTCTGTAAGTTCTTTATTTGGCAATCCCGAAACGACCTCCGATTTCGCAACACCCGTCTTGGCGCTGTAGGCTGCAGTGGTCATCGTAAGGGTGAAGTCTCGCTTGAGATTTCACCTTCCATCTTCTTTAGACGTTTCAGATCAGAACACTGTCGTCGCTACTTCCATCGTCAGCGGTGTGCCCGTGGTGTCGTCGCCACCGTCTCCGACAGTTATCCTGTCTTTCCAGGCTGACTTGTTCCACCCAGCTCTCTGTCTTTCCGTTCTGTCTCCTGTGTGTTCCTCTGCATTGCCCTAATCTGGACACTTCTATTCTTTCCTCTTGTTCTGGGTCTCCTTCATTGGAGTGCTGCACAGAGGCGTTTTTGTCTTGCATGGCCCCAATCTGGGCATTTTTCGTTGTGCCTTGTCGTGTTTGTTCTGTGTCCGTTCCGTGACCTCTTGTGCTAGGTCTCCTTCATTGGTGTACGGCACAAAGGTGGTGTGTTTGTCGAGTCTTCTGTTACGGTTATGGGTGGTTTTTTGGGCGGGTGTGCCTGTTCATTGTCTGGTTTGAGTGAGTACGCTTAATTTTCAGTTTGGAGTGGGTGTGTTTAATTTTTAGGTGGGATTCGATTCCCTAAGAATTTGGTGTCTAGTGACCCTTGGTTTGCGGTGAACCCAACCCTAAGGCATTGCACTCCAGCCATAGGTTGGATCAGACTTGTTGATCGGCAGGCATTGCACCGCCCTCACGGGAGCCTGGCCGTTCGCCTCAAAACATAGAAAAAACACTCGATATGCTAACACAGTTATTTTTTAAACAAAAGAATTTTAGTTCTCTGAGTCTTCACGATCTTCATAAAATCTAAAATGTTCGGCATGGGACGCTGCGTTTCACTTTGACTGTCATCAACAGTGCGACGGAAAAAGTGTTTAAGAATGTTTTTGAGGTTAGGTATGTACATACATAAACAACCAGTCCAATCAATGACAAAGGAGACAACTTTAATAACATTAAACAAACGTCAAAACTTCTAAAAATGATGAAAGTAACAACATAGCTACAAAAGTTTGAAAATACAACGCCCAACAAAACGACTTCAGTTTATACCCAAAACGATAAGTGAGTCATTAAAGTGACAGATAGCCTATCGCTAGGAGTTAACAAATATCCGTTAACTTTTGGTTAGTTAAGTCCGATTTCGGACGCTTGCTAGAAAACCCAAGATAGTGGCCTCTGACTACATAAGGGTCAAACACCTCTTTCCTTCATTTGTTAATCGATACAGACCTGATGCTAACGGAGCAAGGTTGCTCTGAAAAGACAGAGAGAAGTATATTCGGCTCATCAAATAGCCACAGGCGAATTCGTCTTATCCCCACCATACCAAAGCTTACACATTTTAAAGCTGTTTTTTGTCAGACAGTTTAAAATTGTCTTCTTCGTCGAAGCTGCTTAGACCAATTTTTGTCGATTTCCAAGTTGGCACATTGAAAATACAAATGACTACTTCAAGCATAAGGGAAATTCAGTTTTCTAATTCTCGTTTCTGTTTTCATTCAGTTAAACATTGATAAACTACACATGTTTCGCTGATGTGAATGGTGCATAAGTCTAACATGGTTCAAAACTAAAAAGCGCAGTGGAATACAACTGAAAAAAAAAACAAAACAAAACAAAAACTCGACAGTACAATTCAAAGGCCTATAATTTTCCCTCCTGAACAAGAAAGTACTTTGAAGAAAAAATGACCGCGATTAACACAGATTTCTTCAATAGAGATAAAAATCCTTGAATCCATAGGGTGTTAATGGACATGAATGCCAAAAATTCAATGAGCTTAACAAAAATACCAATTTAGAAATCTACGAATTAATAAGTTCTACTATGAGACTTACTGATTCGCACTACGCGAGCTTTAAGGTCAAGCGCACTAAGATGGTATTCATTACAGAGGGTGGCAGAGGGGATCTTGATCCCGTTTCACGCACGAATTTTAGAGAAATTCACGCGGGACGTATATCAAAGGGGAAACTTCAAATCCCTCTTCTTGTCTACAAGGTTTCAGGGAAATCTTGGGGTTATATCGCATGAAAGAAACAATTCACGGGTCACGTATATTTCAGGCGAATTACGCCTTCATAAATTTACGAATCACGCTTGCCTTTCTGTAAATTCACGCGTCACATATTAAATTTGGCCCTAATCACGCGTCACATATCAACCCTTTGCCATCCTCGTTATAATTGATTTATTTTGTATGTTACTGATAAAACAATGGTATATAAAATTGTGTAAAATAATGGTTAGAAACATCTTGAATGGCTTATTCCTCGTCGTCATCTGAGCTACTATCAATTCTTCGTCTCTTTTTGGAGTTTCCTTGACCACTGTTCTTGTAAGGAGAAGTGCTTCGCTCGTTCTTTCCTCCATTATATTCGTCCTCCGAATTACTGGAATCACTATCAACCACTCCCTGAAGTCGGCTGAACAGTTTAGGGTTTGAGTTTAGGACGGTACTGGGTGTTGGCTTGCGATCTGATATTATACGGCTGCTTCTAGTTGGCCGCCCTCCACCATCTAAAGTAATAAATAATAAACTAATTTACCAACTAAACTGATCTTTAGAAGATATGAATTATCTTGTTTAAATGTCACACCCTAACTCTGGCTGCAGCTAACTCAAAACGTCTCAAAACAAATTTTTTAAGGTGTCAGCGCCTTCTCCATCTTTCTAGAGCGCACCTCAAGTAATTTCAATACTTCTCAACAAATTAGTAGCTTTTAATCGGCAGAAGGTCTTTGGTCCCAACGCAACTGCATTCAGAATGAAAGATAAAATGAACAATATGGCAAGTAAGTATATGTTTCGTGAAAAGTCTGACATTCTCTGCTGAAAGGAATATCATTTTATATTAGGGAACATCGTCAAGGGTTGAAATAACTTCTTTCTGAATAAAATTTGAGAAAGGTAAATGGTTCTTTTTAAATATGCAAGGAAAGAAATTTCATGGCCTACAATTTTGCGTTCAATCTGCCATGACACCTGCACCTGAATTAAGAGAACTCGCTACTCAATTTTTCCGTTTAAGGTCACTGCTTTCTAACCTGAGGAGATAATATTGCCACAATCAAGCTCAGCTACTTCATCTGCTTCCTCCCTGGCCTGCTTGAACTCCTTACACATACCAAGCGATATTCTTCCTGAATAACAGAGAAATGGTTACATATACACTAACAAACCTACACCATCCAAAGTACTTCCTACTATCACTTAAACATTTACTAAATAAAGACAAGGACAATTAATAAACCAACCTGTATTTTCCAGAGGATGCAGCAGTGAAAACTATGCATTTTGCAGTCTAATAATTAGAAAAACTAATTATGTGACCAAATTAAGTATTATTAATGAAATTTTACCTTCAAACCCAGTATCCTTTCGCAGCACTGTTTCTAAAACTGTCTCTTTCTGAGACATGGAATTACATGCAGCGAACAGTTTAACATAGTTTTTACGCAGTCCACAGGTTCGAACAAAACGTTTTAAGTTTTTTAGTCTAACACTGTCTGCAGAAGGTGATGTTGACTTTTTCTTTCTTCTAGAGGAGCCTATCTCCTGCAAAACAATGAAATTTACTTATTCAAATCCTGAGAGGAGCAATGAAAAAGAGCAAGAACTTACCAACTTGTCTTGCTGGCCAATTCAGTGTAACCCCATGTTGTTGGCCAAAAAATCAACATGGCCCTTAAAACGGCAAAACTTTTGTCATCTTGAGGCTACCCAAGTAGACAAAGTACTGGCAATTTCATGTGCTCAATTAGACAAAAAAAGTCATAAGTTGGTTTGTTCATCATAGTAAGAACCTGGTTTTCTTTAAAGTGTTTGAAGTTGTTCACCAAATGGGTGTTTTGCCCAAAATAGAAGTTGATTTGCCCTGCAGTCTATTAAGTCTTGGCATATTCATACCACTGCCAAAAACCTTTCAAAAATATTCCCTTAAAGCAAAAATACTCTTGATGGATGTTTAACATGGTTTGTGCTAAGAATTGGAAGCCCCCATAAAAGTTTGAAGAGCACAAACAATTCAAGCTTCTTGAGCTAAAACTTTTTACATTAAGTTCTTCAGTAAATATTTAGAACAAGTGAACACTTGCTCATTAAGTGAACTTAGTTAAGTACTCTGCAAAGCAATATGAAAGTGGTTCATTGAAACAGTGCCCCAAAATTTAATGCAAGCATTCTTCTTCCCTTTCTGTCTGGCGATAATAATGTTTCAGCTACCTCTGACTTCCCTTTCTGTTTTCCCTTCCATGAATCATCATCATCATCATCATTCACCCTCACATCACTTTGGTCTGCTTCATGACTATTTTTCTTTCCACCTCCTTGTGTTTGCTTATGTATTTCATCATCAATGTCATGGTTAGATTCCATAGGTTCTTCATCTTCATCACTCTCCAATGTCTTTTTCTTTTTAGATATATTGTTGTTCCTTACTACCTCACTGTCATCATTGGATACCTCTGCATCCTCAACACTTTCCACTAACACCTTTTTAGGTATACTCTTTTCTTCTCTTCTTTCCTCATCAATTTCTGGATCATCATCAATGTCCTGGGATATTTTTCTCTTCTTAAATGGAGACCTCTTGATTTGCTCCTTGTCCTTACTTTTTATCATAATCAATGCAGACTTTCCATTTTGCTTTTGTGAACTTTTTCCATTTGAAACAGTATTCCTTTGATCTATATTTTCCTTGTCCATTGCTTCTTTTCCGTATTCATTTGCTTCTCTTTGTTCTTTGTATTGTTCTCCAGACAAATCGTTGGTGTTATCAAGTATTTCATTGTCACAAATGTCACCTAAATTTGTATCATGCACATTAGATGATCCCTTTTTGTTGTCTATTGAGTGTTTTCTTTTCCTTTGCTTTGAATTGAAAGATGAAGTGGATGTTGTGGCATCACTTGAGTCATCAGCTGTCTGGGAATCTTCCACACTTGACTCTAATGAACAACAATATTTTATAAGCTAGGAACTAAGTAAACAGTGTTCTTGCATGTAACTCAAGTCAAGGTACACTTCTTGTTAAAACAAAGCTCATACAGGTTAAAAGTTTCCAATTTGTGAAGGGCTGTCAAAAAGTTTGAAAGAACCTTTAGATGGCAAATAAGAAGTTATAAGTAACCTAGTTATCCTGACCTTGTTTCAACAGATTTCAAACAAGACTAAGACCTCTCCAGCTAAAATGTCCCAGCATCACACCATGCTTACACCAACCATTGAGTATATGCTAAACATGGCAATATGTACACTTACAAAACTGTCACTGATATATCATATAACTCAGTTCCTCTCAAAACTTACAAATAGCTCTTTCAAAAATTTCAGATAGTATTTCAATCATTGCACAGTTTTTCATCAGTAATGACAATAAAATGAGATGAAAGTAGCCAGCTGCTACTGTCCCTGTCTAACAGCTCTGGATATATTCAAGCTAAGCTAATCATGGATGACTTGATCTATTTGAACTAGAATATTTGTCAAAATATTATTTAAATGATGGAAATGTACACTGAAAGTATATTTTGAAAATGGGGACTGTTTTTTAACACTCTCCTTATCACCACCTGAAAGCCATTCTTCCATTTAATTATTAAGTGTGATAGTTGGAGTAAGAGTAGAGATAGATTTGAGGTCTTATGAATGACTGTTATTCATGACAATCTGTCACCCACAAGAGCTTTTTCCTAAGATACCCTTACCTTGGTGGCCACAGTATACAATTGACTGTTACTCCTAGGTACAACCCTGTCTATCTTTTCACAACATTTACAGTTTCTAACCCCCAGCCCCCACCCTACCTTGCAATATTAACCCTTGAATTACCTTCTCTAGCATCACACCCTTGAAAAAGTTCTAGATATAAGTAAGTATATTTATATCAAATTCACCTTGATCACCTTCACTTTGCCCTTGATTTTTATTAGTATAAAAAGCATAGACATTATGCACAGTCTTTTTGAAGGCTTCCCTCTGGTCAGCTTCCAGTTTCTCTAATCCCAGGTGTTCAAGAAATTGATGACGTAATGATTTGACAGTTAGCCTCCTGCATCAAAAAATCGAGGAAACTAAAATTGAACATTGGATTAATCCAAAATGGATCTGTCACAGGTCTTATCTTTTTTAAGATAACTGAATATGATCAAAGGAGGTAGCCGAGAGTAAACATACAAAGTTTGTTTGAGAATTTAAAGTAAAGGAACTCTTCTATAATACTGTGGGAATCATGGTTGGACCATTAACATTTACAATTTAGGGCCAGGGACACCAACACAGAGCTACAAAGGACACGGAAAGGGGAAGATCAGAAAAAGACTCTTGCGAGAAGTCTCAGGACAACAGGGAATAAATCGATAGTCACTAAATCGGTACTCAGAATTTTTTCTTTGTCCCGAGCTCGTGACAAGACGAAAAAAAACCATCTATTTCTATTTCTTTACCGGGCTCAAAAACTTACCATCTCTCTTACTTCTATTTACAAACATTACGCTATCGACATTGCTGATCCTAGCAGTACGCAAGACGCGAGTCATATGAACTTCGTAACAGACCTCGCTCACCGTGGAGTCTCTGTGGCTAGTTGGTACAGCATCGGAGCGCGGAATCCGAAGGTCTGAGGTTCGATTCCTCATAGGGTACTCAGAATTTTTTCTTTGTCCCACGTTTGTGACAAGACAAAAATAAACATCTTTCTCAACTTACCCAATGTTATCGCTCTTCCTGAACATCCTGTGTACAAATGTCTTCATCATCGCTTCGTCAATATCTTCAGTCATCTCTTCCGATTCGAAGCTCTTATGTGTTCGTTAACAAAAGTAAAATACTCTCTCCTTAATGTTTAATGCTTGCGTCTAGAAGCGGCAGAAAGTGGCGGGAGAATCTTCTCCTTACCAGCTTCCCTCGATATTCCTCAGCAGGAGTAGTAATCAGCGGTTAAACATCAAAAGATTATGCGTAGTACCAACATTCAAGATGGCGGAGGTAAATTGGTTCTATGCGCTTGCAACCTTCTCTCATTCTTTTAACTGATTCAATGAGTATTTTTTGTTTCAGGACATTGTAAAGCATTCAGTTCACACCCTTGTGTTTCGTTCTCTGAAGAGAAGTCATGATATGTTTCTTCATGATAACGCTCTACCGCTGAAAAGGGATCAAAAAAGGTAGTGTTTGAAGATAAGTTACCTTTGGTTCTTACAAGAATCCTTTGCCTTGGAGTGTAAATTGCAAATTTTTTGGTGCTATTTCAGAATAGTAATCTATTAATTTCAGTAGAATAGCTTTAGAATGGCCTCAGCGCATCTAGCATACTATTCTTTTTGTTTAAATGTCAATGTAGTAGGTATCCAACACCTACTCTTCGCATAATTTCTTTGTAATCTCTGACGAAATGGATTGTAGATCCGAAAAATAGGATAAGGTCCTGAAAATGTCACATTTTTTTTGGTTCGCAACTTCTCAGCATTAACCAGTTTTGTGAACAGTAACTGACAGCTTAATCTGAGTTCCAAAAATATTTGGTTCACAACTTAACCCTTGCAAGTGATAAACGAGGAGTGTGAAATATGAAGGGATAAGTCCTTTCCAAATTACAAAGAATTGAACATACGTATACATCTCATGTCTTTCCTCAGTTGTAGAATTGGTAATTTTTAGAAAATGGTTGTGGTACTATGAGCACCCTGACTAGACAAAAACCTGTTGTTTATTGCACCAGTAAACCCATAGAAATTTTTTGTTGTTGTTGTAAGTTTACTTTGCAAAAGCAATAAACTGCACTTTCTACAAGTTAGCTGTTATAATAACCCACTTCAGTTGTGGGAAGAACACTTGGAAAGTCTGCAAACTGTGGCTTGTGATTTACAAACTTTTCTGTTGTTCCCCCAACATCCCATGTGAGTTATTAGGCAAGTAAATGGGTAGAAAGTATGGTCTGTAGCTTGAATAAATTTTATTGGGCAGAGTTTTATCAAACTTTAATGTTTTTGACATTGTAATGTCATAGTGGGTCATCTTTCCAACAAAGGAAAATGAAGTTTAAACTGCTTTGAGACATTTTGAACACATCTTACACACATACTGTATACATTTTTTTACATAGTGATGAAGTGAAAAGATTATGCAAAGTTCGTGATGAATATTTTGTGGTGAAAGACTTGGTTCCTGCTAAAGAAAACACTGCATCAAACAGAAATCCAGCAACTGGAGAGTACCCATCGCAAGAAGGTAAGGGACACTCTTTAAACTAAAGAAGAGTAAATATCTTTTGATTCAATTCATACTTGGCCAAATGTTATTTTCCTATCTATCCCACACAGATTTGTATTAAACTTAGAAACAATGAAGAATAAATTTGACCCAAGCATGGAATTAAGTTGCATCATGTACATACCTCATGTTAGAATTACCAAGTAAAAATGTTTGTTATTTGTTCAGGGAGCCAAATTTTCATTTCAAGTTTTGAAGTATTTTCATTTAGGGGTGAAACTGGAGAACTGATGCTTTTTTTTTTCTTTTCTTACCAATACTCACCATTTTCTCTAACCCTCATTTACAAGAGAAATGTCATCCTAATGAAGGAGTGTAAAAGCGTCATTTCCCTGAGGGAAATGAAATTGGCTGTTGACTTTCTTTTTTTGTTCTCAGTTTCAGATGTGCCCCCATTAATACAAGGATCACATTCTTATCCATCAGCACCAGGTAATCTATAACAACTTCACATCCTGTATAGTTGTTGTGTCACTTAAGCTCGTTACCTTGAAAAGAACTGGAAGGTCAAATACTTAAATCTTAGTTTAGAAGAGATCAAGGGAACATCTCTTCTAGATAGATTATATTACTGACAATTGAAGTGAACTTTTACCTGTAAGGTGCGCATTTACAGCTGTGTTCCACACGAGTTAGCTGTGGTTACACACTGACAATGTGTTTCTATGCCAGCTGTACCCTTAATACTCCTTTAGTTTAACTTTTTTCAAACTCTTGTCTCCCTTACTTTTGTATCACGACTTGCTGAGTTTCAGTAAAGAATATTTGGCAACATTAGTTTGGATATGTTATATTTTCTGAAGCACATCAATTATTTTTCTTTGAAAATTCAGCAATGAGGTATTTTTAAAACTGATTTTGTTTATGTTAGGTGTTGCACTGACTGCAGACACTGCAGCAAACATAAGGTCCCCATCGCAGGCTGGAGTTCAACAACTCATGTCAGGTTTGCCACCTTCAGCAGCACAGTGAGTATTTTGTCGAGATACTTGTACAATTGTAAGGAATTGTTATCAATTTTCATATTTCCCACTTAAAGTTGCTATAGTTGCTGTTACTTTTAACAGATATGAAATTTTATGACTGAGCAGAAGAATTGTTTGCTTGAATTGAAGGACTTCTACCTGCAGATAATCTTTCAGAAATTTATCATAAACTCAATTAAATAACTGAGCTTGATTGTATTATCACTTTTTTAATTCTGTTTAAACCATAATTTTTATAAAAACTCACAGACTCCAATCCCAGAAAGAAAGCCCAGGTGTTTTGGCCATTCAACAGAAGGCTTCAGCCTCAGGTGGAAAGGAGAGACTTGGGCCTTCATCTAAAGCATTGGTTTCTGTTGGAGGAAACAAATCATCGACAGCATTAATTCAGCAAAAGAAAGCGGCAACCTTGCCTAAACCACAGTGGCATCCACCATGGAAACTCATGAGGGTAACAACTTTGCCTTTTCATTTTATTTGTGAATTGATGGCTTTAAAAAAAGGAAAATACATTTTTTACTGAAAAATTAAAAGTTAGTCAATCAACCAAAGATGTATGTACTTTTTCTTTAACATATTTTAATTTTTTATTTGTGTTTGCACTTGATGCATGTGTATTATGGGCTCACCAATTTCTAAAATACTCAATATCACTGATGTAATTATATTGGATGATAATTGCAAGTAAGATGAGAATGAGCTCCTGTCAATAATTTTTGAAAATGCCTTTGACTTTTGGTGACTTGTGTTATGAGAAATTATTGTAAATATAATCTTCTAGAAATTTCCAGACTGCTGAGTCATGCTGACTTACATATCAGAGAACTTTCCAGGACATTTCATCAAGTCATGTATTTATTATGTAATATTACCAGAATAGTTCTTGTGTAAGCTTCTGGAATGTTCCAGAACACTTTGTGAATGTATATAAAGACTCGCTTATGTAGTAAGAGAAGTAGTTATCATCAGAGCAAAAACTGTTTTGAAAGCTATACTAAGAGAGAGTTATTGCAGAAGACTGTGGATATAGACTGTGCTGGACGTAATTAAGTTTATTAACGATAAGTATCATATTATGTTTAGGAGTGGCTCCTTGTTAAGAACATTACTCGCTGTTTAATAAAGTAGTTGAGTTTGTGGGACTGTAGTGTTTTTCTGTTGGTTAGATTACACCATAACTCTTGTTGCAGGTAATCAGTGGCCATACTGGTTGGGTAAGATCAGTTGCTGTAGAGCCTGGTAACCAGTGGTTTGCTACAGGATCTGCTGACAGGACAATCAAGGTACAGCAAGAACATATTTCAAGTCTAACTCATCTTCCAATCTTTAGCCTCTGAACATAAGATCTGCTGGTGACAGATAAAGATTAACTGTCTTTTTTGGCCTTGTTTAAAGAGGCACACATCTTGTCGCTGGGGTTACTTCTTGATCTAAGTTGTTGTCCACCCTCCCTTCAACTTAAGTTCCTAAACAGCTGTCCATGCAAATTCTACATAAAACCAGAAACTTGTTCCAAAAAGAAAATTTTATGTAAAACAAGAATTTGAATATAACAGTAACAGGATAGCTGTATTTGAAAAGGAATACTGAAATTCAAAATTACTTATGTTATGAAATGACCCTAAATGGACAACTTTGTCATAGAAAAAAACATGAAATGTTTGTTGTTGCAAAAAGTCCTTCAACATAGGACAACAACACCATTAAAGATTTGTCTCTTTAGAGGCAACCTGGTTTTTTGGTTAGAGGCAACCTAGCCTGTTCATCCACTGACATATATCTGGCTGGTTTTTGGTTTATCAAAGTAGGCTTGTCTCAATTTTTACCAAGTTACTTGAGATATGAAGCTGTGAGCCAGGGCCTAGATGTTTAAGCTGCTTCGTGTGCTTTGCTTTTATCTCTTGCTGTGGAATGATGTAAGATTTGTGGCAATTTATTTACAAGAATGCCATCTGTCATGACATCATCTTTGAGTACAACTTATGATTTATTGTATTCAGATATGGGAGCTTGGAAGTGGCAAACTTAAGTTATCCCTAACTGGCCATATAAGTACTGTTAGGGGTTTGGCTGTGAGTCCAAGACAACCATATCTGTTTTCATGTGGAGAGGACAAACAAGTCAAATGCTGGGACTTGGAGTACAACAAGGTACTTTTACATTTCTTGAGTAAAATGACTCATTATGCTTACTTGTCAATCACTCTATCAATTTGTTTTAATCAAAACTTGTTCTTGTCGTAAATGTTTTGCAGGTTGTGCGCCACTACCATGGTCACCTGAGTGCTATTTACTCACTGGATCTCCATCCTACAATTGATGTGTTGTTCACTTGTGGTAGAGATGCAACAACCAGGGTGAATTTTCTACCCTTAGTTGTTATTAACATTACTATCAGAACCAGTAACCATCTGGCCTCTGTATCAAAGTATATCAAATACACTGGTGCGCCTTTTCTGAAAGGCTTCTGGAGCACTATCATTAAAATTTGGGGCCAGTTTATCATTATCATGTGAAGGATATGATGATTATAATGACAATGATGGTAACAATGATGAGTATAACAAGAAACATGATGTTGTATTTGTAGAACTGGCAGCAGGCAAAATTAAGAAGCTACTTTTTTGGTTTGTACCAGCTACCACAACTGCTTTCGCGCAGGAGAAAGCTTCTCATTCAGTTGACTTTCTCTGTTTTCTACTTTAGGGTGTCTTGAGAATCAATTGAATGCAACAAAATCATAGTGATACCCTTAGTATCATTTTCAAACTTTCAGTGAGTACTCTGTTGTAAGAAATTTAAATGTTGTATAAAGTATAGTGATTAACCTTTCAGATTGACTCAAGACATTGATTATTGTTTTCAGGTTTGGGACATGAGAACCAAAGCCTGCATACACACTCTGACAGGTCATACAAGTACAGTAGCAGTTGTTAAAGCTCAGGCTGCAGAGCCTCAGGTTAGTAAAATGCTTGATCCAACTATAACATGGCTGGCTCCACTTTGAAAAGTTATCCTCAGACAAGTACCTGTTAATTTAACCTAGGATGATTATTCAATACCATCAGGTAGAAATGCATGATACTTTTTCCCTACATAATTGATAGCCATACATTGAGACACATTCAGATGCGTTTCGGCATTAATTTATTGTTTCAGCTTAAATAATTATCTCTTACTTAAATGGAAAATGTAATGCAAATCAGTATTTCAGTGATCCAGTTTTTTCTTGTTGTTGTTTATCTCTGCATTCCTTGGCCGCCTTGAACTCTAATTCAGGCTAATGGCGTACTATAAATTTTGTTATCAAAGTTTCAATCTATGTAACCTAAAACACAAGGGCATATTTGAACAATTATCCTCAGAAATGTTCTCTGGGAAGTTTTTTCAGCATCTGGAGCTGTCAATGAAATTATTTCAGCATTAAACAATACTAGTGAAGTGAGGATCAGAAGATGTTTTATACAAAGATTTTAGTAACCAGAGATCATGTTTTTCTTTTGGTTAGGTTGTTACAGGAAGCCATGACTGTACCATTCGTCTGTGGGACTTGGCAGCTGGCAAGTCTAAAGTCACCCTTACTAATCACAAGAAAAGTGTCAGATCTGTAGTGTTACATCCAACACAGTAAGTAGCCAGTACACAATCAGATACATATGAATGCAAAACCTAGAATCATTGTGTTTTCCTGTCACCAGACTGGTTTATCAGTTAGTTGTTCTGTAAAATGTCAGTCAGCTAGTCAATTAGTCACTCAGTCAGTCTTTCTGGGTATGTCTGTCTATCTGTCTGCTTGTCAGCATATCCTTCCATTTCTCAGTCTACTGATTGATTTTTTGGTGGCATGATCTATGCAAGAGTTAGATATTCAGTCAGTCAATACCTGATGATGTTTTCCCCTAATTTTAAATCCTTGTTTTTTACACCCATGTAGTACTGGTAACGTGCCTCCCCTTCCTTGATCAGAATATCATTTAAGGTGATTCCTCACTACTGCACTGTGCATCTTGTACTGTGAAAAAAAAATATCACAAAATGAAATAAATGTGCATACATTCCAAGAACATGGTATTGTTTTTCAATAAATTAACCAGGTAAAGATGTAGGATGGTCTTCAGCTCTTGAACAAGCATGGTGACCTATATTTTTATTCCATAATATTGGTATACAAATTATCCCCTATAAATTGGATGAATTTTAAAAAATTCATTAAAGGGAAAAAAAGATGAAGCTGAAAGTTTGTTCAAAGCCTGGTACTCCATGATGCAAATTATGACCTTGAAAGTAATGACTCAATGAATGTTTTAAGTCAATGTAGTTTAAAATTAGGTGAATTTTCCACAAATAATGTATCAAATTGTTCCATATGCTCTAAAATATCTACCTATTAAGTTTTTTTAAAATGTTAGCCAAAAAACCCTTGCTTCCAGCTACCTCAAAATGAACCACAAACCAATGAAATGACACACACGATAAGTATCAGAGCAGGCCTAAATGGGGTAAGCTACCTCAAAATGAACCATAAACCAATAAAATGATATACATGATTAGTATCAGAACAGGCCTAAATGGGGTAAGTTCGGCCATGTTCATCTCTTAAACAAGCACTGTGACCTACCTTTTTAATGGCATCTTTCTAAACAGAAACTGCTAGGGAACATTTAAGAAAAGTTCAAAAAAATTGTTCTATAACTTTCTTTTCTGAGGAATCACTTTAAAAAGAGTTCATCTATCTCATCAAGAAATTAAGCAAGTTCCAGTCAATCAAATCAGGGACATGTTCATGACCCCAGTCCCCACCTGGCATGAAGAACTTAGAGTTAGCTTCAAAAGTGAACCTGCTTTATGGCTTCAAAAGGGTTGTCTCAAATATAATCACATCTGAATAACTTTGAATAACTAGCTGTGGGGTGCCGTGAAAGGACTCTTTAAAATGAGATTTGTGTTTGTTTTCTTGTAAGGTTTTCATTTGCTTCAGCTTCTCCTGACAACATCAAACAGTGGAAGTTCCCAGATGGGAATTTCCTTCAGAATCTGATTGGACACAACTCTATAGTGAATTGCATGGCAGTTAACCCTGATGGCGTCTTGGTTTCAGGAGGTAAAGTTGAGGTTGCAAAAGCTTTATAACTGCAAGTGTTCCACAAAGAAATGGCACTCATTGGAATTATTTATCACATTTGTGAGGAATATTTTAAACAATCTTTGACATGGAGTCAAGGGGATCAAAGACAACATAGACATGACCAATTCTTCAACCAGTGACACATCTCTGTATAATGAACTGAGAGATAACTTGTGTTCTTATATGTTGATGGCTAAGAGCAGATAATTTTTGTGCTTTATCAGGTGATAATGGAACGATGCATTTCTGGGATTGGCGTACAGGTTATAATTTCCAGCGATTACAGGCAGCTGTGCAACCTGGCTCTCTGGATAGTGAGGCTGGTATCTTTGCAATGACCTTTGACTTGAGTAGCAGTCGACTCATCACATGTGAAGCTGATAAAACAGTCAAGATCTACAAAGAAGATGACACAGCTGTAAGTATCACTACCTTTATTCTAAGTGAAATAATTGCCTGAAATGGGGTCTCTATTTAGACACAATCCTTCACTTTTGCCTTACTTTGCTACTTGAAAAGCTTAAAGGTTAATGTGCTGGATACATGTATTGTGACATAATTATTGTTTGTTTTTGTTTCAGAGTGAAGAAACTCATCCTGTGAGTTGGAAACCTGAGATATTGAAAAGGAAACGATACTAGACAACTGCACTCTCCATTTTGAAAAATAGAGAACTCTAGATATCATAGCCCCTGTACCTTCAAAACTTAAAGTCTACTTTACTTTTGTCAATAGTGGGAAGCTGCAAAGTTTGAAACTGTACCACTCAAGGCCACTGTCGTAATGTTAATAAAAATACTTTTTCTGAAAATGTGAAAATAATGGTCTTAAAATGGTTAATGTTTAAAGACCAATCAAAGTATCTCTTTGTCATAAGATTAAGAGTGACACAGGAAGCAGGATTTAGAGAAAGCAGACTTGGGAAGACTTTCATCTACTCCCCAAGATCACTGGATATGAAAAGTAAATTCTCTAAAAACTGGCATGCTGCATGATTGCAAGAGATGTACTTATACCATATCATCTTCACACCCTGTAGTGCCATATCATCTAGGGTGGAAAAAACCTACCTTGGCTTTGCAAATCTATGTTCAGCAAGTCCAAGATGCTCCCTCTCACCCAAACTCTTCTTTGTAACCCAGATTCTCACTGTTTCTTACCAAAGCTCACACTGGCATGCTAATAAACACTGGCTATCATGATTCTGGCATGTGTGGGGTGTCTCAAGAGGACTTATAGCATAGCTAGTAAATTTGTCTAATCAAATTCAATTGCACAAGTGTGCTTCATATTCCTATTGTGCACACTCAAAAAAATTTTCCATTGGGTTGAAAATGTCACTAAACAATTGTTTCATACATCATGTGTGTGTTCATGGAGATATGAAGCACTTGGGAAGTTTGGAGAGCACTCAAGAAGCTAGAGTTGCTCTTGGCTATGCCTCAAGCAACTTTAGCGCATCTTTCACGCTCTCCAAACTTCCCACATGCTTCATATCTCAATGAACGCATGTTGACGTAGGAACCAATTGTTAATTTTAACCCCAATTCACATCAAATTCTAAATACCATTTTCTTAACAATGAAGGCTTACTCTGCCCTGTTTTCAATAAGACATTGGAAATCCATAGCCTTAGTTTTTAGGTTTTCAATTGACAATCACTTCACATCTTGTGGAGTTGCATTGATGAGTAGCACAATCACCATACCCACTTCTGTAACATGTATGGAAAATGTGAAAATTGCTAGTTTGGGACAAAATCACTTCTTTAGGTCTGTTTTAAACTCACATTTATTATTACAACTGATTTATTTCAAACTATTTTATTTTTGTCACATTTGATTCAAATTTGTATTTACCCATAATCCCTTGTAGGTGTGTTTTTTTTCACAAATAATCAATTTCGAGTTCACTGACACAGTAAAAAGTAGAAATAATAACATTTTGTATTACATGGAGGCTAGTATCTCCCTAGTGAGATCAACTGGCACTCTAAAAACTGACTTTCTGCCTCTTTTTACAACTTGAAGATCACATCACCATTTTTCTCTTGGAAATTCAGCTCTCTTTTTGCGATTCTTTTCATTATATTTTAGATTCCTTAGCCTATTCTTTTCCTGCTTTTTCCTCCTCCACTCTTTGATCCTCGCAAGCTTTTCTTCCTTTTCGTTAACCATATCTCTTTTCAAGCGCACTTGTCGTGACCGGAAGCGAGTTGTGTTACCCTTTTATGTTACGTGCATGAACTGATTGCGAAACGCGTGATTCTAACAATAGGCTATTCATCTTAAGGATAAAATGTAGAATTACAGACAGATGAGATCGATTTTGGAGAGAGAATACCACGACGTGTACCCACAAAGTGAGAGCTGTAAATCGTGAGAAATATTAAATCTGGTGAAAATCTTCATACGCGAGAGTTTCCTTTGTCGGCGAGCACCATTTCCCGACACACTTGAAGCGATATTTACAGATGGCTAAATCTCAGAAAAATTATTGAGCTTGAAGACCCCCGACCCTTGATAACGTCGCAGAAACCAAAATAGGAAAGGTTACCAAGATATTTTCGACACGGAGATGAAAAGATGAAGGCGAAAATGGCGGAGCAAACAGCAGATTTCATAGCGCTTTTGGTGGCATTTGTGGCGAGACTCCGTTCTCAATATGGCGTCAACATGGTAAAAAGCGTAGCGACTTGGTCAAAAGTGAATATTTTGGCCGTTTCTAAAGATATGGACCCGAAAACTTGGAAATGACAAGAGAAACTTATGAGCATTGAAGTGTAATCGATTTCGAAACCCGACTTTGCCGTGTTTGAAGTATATTAGCGAAGGAGAAGGTAGGTTGATGAAAAATATTATTGCGTAATCAGGTTTTACAAAACCGTAGCGACTGTTTTACACTGATATTTCTCCGTTTATAGTCAATCCTTTAGACTGATTTTTCGCTATTTTAGAACACCAAGTATGAGCATTTGGTTAATGTGTTTTTGTTCCCACAGGATTCCAGTTCAGTCATTCTGCGGACAACAACTTGGTGTACTTCCAAATTCTGAAACCCAGCGTTACACAAAGGATACTTAAGAATGATGAATCTTTTCTATGCGTTTTAATAAACTTGAAATGTCAAAGTTTTGCTCAAATGTAGTGTTTATTGTGTGTTATCATTAGGTGTAATTTGTTTGCTCAAACGAGCTTTCTTTTCAGTGAAAAATGCATTAAAAAAATTTTACCACTGAGATTGTGTTACGCGTTACAACCAAAATTGGCTCGATTTTTCATCTTTCACGGGTATTTTCTCAAAGACAGTAATGTGGTTTTCTGATTTTTTGCTTTTACTATAATCAATAAGAACAATTTCACCTGTAAGCAAAGATTTGGCTTCAATGAAAATGTAAAACAGAAGAAATCATTGAAAGTTTGCAGTCAACCCCCTATGGGCATGGTGATTGTGCTACTCATCATTCCTTTCAGTGTCACTTGCATATGTTTGCACACCAATCTTCCCTTTCTATTGCATCAACTAAATTGTGCGCATAGATATTGCAAGATGAGCAAGGAGTTGATTTTCCAAACCTTTTCCCTTTAAATGATCAACTACATTTCCAATAGTATGGGGAGAAATCCACTGTCTACATGGTACATTTGCAGCTAAATAATGAGTCACTACTTTTTCCCTTGCATTGGGATTCACCACTACATTAATGCAAAAACAAGGGGGGAAGAGATGCCTCTAGCCAGTGTAAGGCAACTCTGTCTCTTATGTTCCCTTTCATCAAATAAGAATAGGGTCGTTTCCTACATTTTAAGTCACTTTTTCTTTCAATCTCCTTTCATTCGTTCACTTTTTGTTACAAACAAAGGTAATGGAAGGGAAGCTAACTGCTATATAAAAAACAAGTTAGACAGCAGTGGAGCAATTCACTTTTTTATTAACATTACAGCACCATTTAGGATCGAGGTCGTTCCTTCTTCTCTTTGAAAAGAGCAAGAAGTGAAACATTAGCAACCTTTACAACCTTGAACCTCACACCAGGAATATCACCCACAGCATGACCTCTTCTGCCAAAACCAGAGATTAAAACTTCATCGTTTTCTTCAATGAAATTAAGGCAACCATCATTTGGCACAAAGGCAGTGATCTTCTTTCCATTTTTAATGAGCTGTACTCTAACACACTTTCGAATAGCAGAGTTTGGCTGCTTAGCTTCCACTCCCCTACAAAACAAACATTTAGATGTCAACTGTTGTCATCAATTCAATATGCCAAATGTTCAACACATAACTACACTTATTCATTAATACAAAAAGTTGTTTCGGAAAGTGACCCAACAATGACCACCAAAACAAAAACACTGGAGGTTTGAGCAAGGCAATAATCACTTCAAACAGATTCCAGTATGTGTTTATCAAGAATAATTCAGGTTCAGTGCTTTGAATGAGGTTAATGTATTTTCTTCATTCAGGGCCCTAAATTATGCAACCCTTGCTGGAAACCCAGTATGTAAGCGTAAAAACCAAAATTCATAAACACCCTTCCTCCACACTAACAATGCACCCAGAAATCAGCCCTCATGCTGGAAATGTACCTTCCTGATTTCAGTATCACTTTGCCTGACCCAGCCAAGAAAACTTACCTTTCAGTAAAAGTAAGTTTCTATTTATTGAAGTCCTATGATGGAATTTGAATATTTCGAGTGAAAGTATCAATAATTCTGAGTATACTTAAATGGCAGCATAGCTCGGGCTGAGAACGGCATATTATCCAGTGATTCTACCATTAAGCTGTAGTGGGGAATTCCTGGAGTATGTATGTGAACTGGTGACTGAGTTAATCCGCTGTTCTAGGCAGGAATAAGGCAGGCCGCCCAGTGAATAAGATCACATTTTCTTTTCGAGGATTTTAGCACTGAAAATTCATGGTTTCCCTCGATCCAGTGACTCTAACCTCGTTCATAAATTTAAGACAACTGACTCAAACAACCGCAGAGTTTCATATATTACTCGTTGAAAAATATAACGACGATCTCACATCAAACAAACGGCGGAATAATACCTTAAACAGTGTCACAGACAAGGATACGGGATGGAAAATTACATTCTTCTAATCTAAAGAAGTGTACAAGTCCATGATGATAGCCAAATTGCTCAGCGATTGTTAAAATACTTCAGACAAAGACTCTTAATCAAGAATGAAGAACATTAAATACATACACTTTCTCGAGAACAATTCCCTTGGCATGGGAGGCACCACCAAAAGGGTTAGCCTTCAGTGCTGTTCCTAAATGCGCTTTCTTGTATCCCTTGTCATGCCATCTTTGGTCTCGGCGGTGGTTTCGGAGTTTACGAGCGGTCCTTAAACCTCTTGGCTTACCTTAAGAAAACAAAAATAGTTTTAAGGGAGTGAATGGAGGTACTTTGAAGTTTATCTCAGTATTTGTGGTGTTTTAATCGATAAAAAAAGACAGTAATTTAGAAAAACACGTGTATACTTACCCATGGTCTTCCACCAAATACTAACGAAAAGGACGATCCGTGGTGCACCGCGTGAATTTATAGTTACTATTATGGGATGAGGGTTGTTGGCCCATAAGCCACTGGGCGTGCTAATAGCAAGCCTCCGGGCGCCTCTTCGGAAAATAAAAATTAACATGTATACGACAACACTCATTTTGTGTTTCACTTCCCAAGAAATACCAAAATTACAAAAAGTTCAGCTATTAATTCTGAAAATTCCAACCAGCAATTCCTAGACAGTGTGAGGCTTTCGGTCAGGGCAAGCAAGCGGGTGCGCCCGTAAGGAAGTAAGGCAAAGGGATCCGATCTAAACCGAGAGTGAATACCATTTTAACGTCATTAATTTTTTTAGGTCATGTCTGGTCCCAATCTGTGGCAAAAATGCATAAGCGAATCCTCTCCTCGAGCTTAAAATATTACATGTAGCATACAAAGAAGTTGTAATAAAAACGCCCTGACGTCTCTACCAAAAGTAGGTTATGCAAAATTACGGTGCGATTGGTGCTGGATATGACCAAGGTAAACGACTTGCTGTTTTTCGTTTTCCGTATTCACTCCGTATATCGATCAGTTTTCTTTACTTTTTTAGTTTTCATACCGGTGATATTTGTCACTTCAGTTCAATGAAAAAAAATATTGTGATTCATTGTTACTCTCTTATAATTCTGAGAGCCAATAGTGTCAATGCCATAGAGGACACTGAGGTGAAGACAAAACTGCGAACATATGTCAAGTTACTCTTCATAACTACAAAAGGTATTTTGTGTAATTTTGTGGACGTAATAATAATTTGCAGGTGACGCAAATGCCTCCAAGTCTGTATGGACGTCAGGAAAATAACTAACAACAGAATTAAACTGTTTTGCATTGATCCCAAGAGTAAGTCTTTTGCTTTGATCATTGGTCATCCAGAGACCTCTATGCCCTCAGTACTCCATGGCCTTTTTCTAAGACGAAAAAGAGATTTATTTCTAGTTTTTGTTTTGCCCTGAAAAGAGCACAATTTCTATAGTCTTGCGCTCTCTAAATTTGCGAAAGTAAGCGGAGGATATGGCACATTATGAATAAATCATTCTAGAAAAACATGAAAAGGAAACTGATTTAAGTAACTTTTACTCGTACCTATACTTAATATGCACTGAGGTCAATTGACAAATTAACGAGTTCTTTGTATTTCAGCTTAAGTGCAGCAGTCGAGTGCCGACACGACTAATCATTAATTCAAAGTTTGTGAACGTTTTTCGTTTTTGACTCAATTACAGCCATATTCTCTTTATCAAACCAAAACGGCGATGAGTTATAGAATACGCAAATTGAGTTGATTTGATGCACAAGAGAAAGACGCCGTCTTTGTTATGAGTCGAACAACCAATTGTAATCTTTCACAATAAATAACAATTAACAATCCACATCAATTACTTTCAAACTGTCTGCATTATTAAGTGCATTGGTAATGAACTAGTTTTCGGAAGGAAACAAGCGCAGCCACAAATTATAACACTACATCGAGCTGGATCATGTCCTCTTTCAACTCAGAGGCCTTCTCAGGTTTGTAGTTAAGGACTTGTTTTAAGGGACTAGTGTTTGACTGATCAGCAGTATAAAGTTATTAGAGCTGTGTAGGAAGTTAGGTTTTGAATCATCGGATTTGACTTAACCTTCAACTGACGCAACCGTCAAAATTAAAACATAGTTAAGATTTAATGATAACCAGCTCGATCGCCACAACTTCTCAGGAGGAAAAAGAAAGACAACCCAAGGCGTAAGACAAGGGGACAACAAAAACGTCTTGAACAAAGACCATCTCGAATAAATATTTTTTAAGGTTATGGAAATGATAACTACGTGGTCTGATTCATAGTAATCTAAAATGACTGCGTAACTGTAACTACCCTCTTTGCGCATAACAAGGAAACTTTGAACACTAAAGCAAAAGTAATAAAAACAGCGACGAGACGCATTGCAGGTAAACAGTGGTTGTTACCACAACAAGTACTTAACACTTGTGGTACAGTATGGTCACTACTAACCATTTCCATACTACAACGGATAAAATTGGTGGCAGAAATTTTCCTTTCGCGCCCCAGAGAGAAATTTCTCCTCTCGAGATCAAGACAGTTTCATGCCGAAAGTTAGTGATTAGTGAGAAAAATATTAACCAGGGGACACTGTTTGATTTAACTCTCGCCCCAAATTCCCATGGGTAGAGTTAAAGAAATGTACACGGCCAATGTGGAGAATTGATATTCAGATCATGGGAGTGACTGGATTAAATCTACCCGACATGGCCGTGTGAAAGGGGACGAGATCGCAAACAATGGAAGATTGAAAGTTGTAAATCTCCACAGTCGGTGTTTTCAGTTAAATCCGCTTTAAGAGCGTTTTTGAATAGGTTTGTCTATTCGCTGGACAATCTACTCAGATTATAGTTGAACCCCGGTAACTCGAATTACCAAGGGCAATTGAAATTACTTCGAGTTATCGGGGTTTCGAGTCGTAAGGGTTTGAACAGAAAGACCAGAAACACTTGATCGATTCCAAACTACGCGCCATTATTTCTCTTCGCCGGGAAGAACTGTAAAAATTGTTTGTTCACGGACATACAAACGTGTGATCTCGACAAAGGTGTCTCAATATGTAAATGTCACTAAATGTAATCTTTTGGTGCAAAATGTTATGGCTCATTAGTCCGCAAAAGTGAAAATTGACTTCGAGTTATCGAGGGCAAAATTAGGCTCATTTAAAGTCCGGATTCGGGAATTTAAAGTAAGAAGAGAGCGAGATGCGGGATTGCTCTTATGAACGGGACACGGGAATCGGCAATTTTGAGGAGCGGGATTCGGGAAATAATCACTTAGACGAACCTAGAACTGGGATGTCCGTTGACGAGGATTTATGAAGAAATTTATCTTCTCAGTCATGAAAAGCACCAAGCACACAGGCTCTCTAGCATTCAAGAGGCGGTCGGGCTGCTCAGCGACACTCTTAAGTTATTGCGCGGGAATGAAAATTAGATCAGAAGAGAAGTTGCCAATTTATCAAAAATCCTCAATGGCCCACAGGAAAACGTAGTCTAAGACTGCTGCGTTAATTGGAATGCTTAACGGCGTTGAAAAACCTCCTGCAAGTCTCAGAATTATACCGATATGATGCTCTTAACCTGTTGAGTTACATGACACTACATGTGAAGAATATTCACTCGATTGTGCATCACAAAGATAAAGTTTTCACGGTGTTAGACTACCCAAGGAACTTTGGAAATGTAACCCAAGGCCTAATCAGGACAATCCATTGGGCGGCGTACCGAACATGCCAGGGTCCTGTCGGCCATACCAGCAATCCAACCGTTACCACCTGTGCCGAAGGCACCACAGAGCATACAGAAGATGAGGGACTTGGCGGAAACATTTGTTGCAGCAGTGCGTCAGCTCTCTGTCAAACAGGAAACAACGATGGCAAGAGCTGCAACTTCCCGTTCCCGTTCTTACCTTTATCAGAAAAAAATTTAGCCGGTCGAACCGGTCAGCCTCGAACGCTCTGACTTCGAGGAGGAGTAGCAAGAAAACAGCGGGAAACAAGACGAAGAGGAAGATGGAATATTGGAGTACGATTCCCCGAGTGATGATGACATTCCATCTTTGGAAAGAGAGGCTGATTTTTACCTCGGAAGAGATTCCCGCCTCGGAAGTGTTCGCTTCAACAGAAGAATTGTGTTCAGTTAATTTTTCTTAATCTCCGTTGTTATAAAACCATGGGATTGCCGTGACCTTTTGTGTTTTATACACTTGTTGAAATTGTTATTCGTTTCTTTGATACTGACCTGCTTGTACCCATACGTTTGTCCGTGATCGAAATTTAATGAAAGGAAGTCGTTACCGTAACTAGCGTACTTTATTCGTGAAAAACTTTGAAAACTTTTAAAATGAACGATATCGTCATTTTGGTGAAAAGAGCTAAACTCACGCCTGACGGTGACAATAGACTTCAACGGATCAATGCTGGTTAAGAAAATCATCACCCACCGGAAAGGCCCTTCTAAGTTTAGGAAATGGGCTAAGACAAAATTGTATGATTGGGATCGGCGTTAGCCGGTATAAACCGTCAGGATTACGGAATTAAGAGAAAATTGTAGTCGGGATCGCGTGATTGAAGAACTCCATTGGGGACCCTCACCATGGTACAAAGCTATGTTTCCAAATTTATCCGGCTTAATAAAGACGAGGCTTGTCCAACTTCTCTACCGAAGATTAGAAATCATGCCCGAGACTCTGTGATCTACTCCCACTTTTATTGAAAAATATTGGGATGTTTGCCTTTTCCTGCTCACTCAACTCTGTTGAACTGTGTTCCTTTTTTGTTTTAATTTATTTCCTACTTTGTCAGGAACTGCTGTTCCCCCCAGTCCTAGAAGTACAGACTTGAGTGGTATGGAGCACGTATTTATATCGAAGAACCTACATGAGCCAACATTTCAACATCTGGGTAAGTAGCCTCACATGACAGGGCTTTTTTGATTTTTTGGCGCTTTATCAGTCTGCAAACTTAACTTATGCACGAAGAGCCACAAATAGATATACTATAAATCGCTCATCTACCAATCACTGAGAGATGAGTTTTGTGGGAGCAGAGAACAGGTGGATCTGAACCCTACTACACATGAAAATTTTGGGTAAGGGGGACAAACCTTCCCACCCCACCCCCTGTCAGGAGTGCGGAAAATGCAGTCAACTCTCAAAGCGACTCTACTGGATACAAAAAAAGTGGTTGCTTGAGGGAGGCGGTCGCTCAAGAGGAAAATTGTAACCATAAATCAAAATCGCATGTATCGACTTACTTCCTCCTCATGGAGTATCAGTTTAAAGAAAGGGAATGTACAAAGCCCCTTTACAAAGTTGCTAAACGTTTCAGTGTTCATTTTCATTTTAAAAACATGCACCAAAGACAGTTTTTCCAACCAAATAATCTTTTTCTATGAAATCCAAATTCTGGTTTCTCGATTACTTAGTTCGTTGTTTTAAAAATTAAACAGTCGTGGAGACCATTCATAATTTACGCGACTGTAGTTCTTGGAATCGTGTTGGTGGTTGACTACTAAAGAAACATAGGATTTGCCTAATTGTTCGCAAGTGGTTGTAGCCGCAGACGGCAAATTTGAGCATTGGTCGCCTAGAAAGTTTGTGAAAGGGTATTTGAATGGTGTAAAACTAGTCATTTACGAACAAGTAGTTTATTAAACGAAGTAATTGTGGATGAGACTGAACTCTATCACCATGGCAAAACACTCTCTCTCGTGATCCTAACAAGTAATTTCATAGAGATCGCGCTTGACAAAATGTTATCCAGTAGAATTTTTAGAATAACTATCTACTTCAATTATGCGTTGTCACCGGTCGATTACGAACACAGAAGATACTGCTTAAGTTCCACAGAGTTTTGCCCGTACCGACGTACGTTAAGTTTGAGTATGCGCTAAGATTAGAGAACGATAAGCCCCGCAAGCCTGCCTTCGACAACGTCTCTAAACGCTCCGCCGTTTCTTGACTTCATAGGACACACTAGACTGCGCATGAGATTTTTACTTTCAAACAGTCCTTCCACGGGAGGATGTTGTAATAGCAGTTCGTTGGACGTGTTCTCGGACAACCTTTCCTGTATACCAATTCGGAAACTAGTGTTCAATGTCACTAAAGTAAACCCTGAGGACTAACAAAGAGTTGACATGAACTGTGCTTTGAAAAAAATTTACTTGATAGAACAATAAGAAAGGAGTTGGTGATTGAATGATCGACTTCAGTAACCAGCTACCCTGTCATTTACCAGGCGATCAGTCAAGTGTTGCGAACGATCTCTAAACGAATGAGAATAGATGAAATCCACATATTTGAATTGCCGATCAATTGATGAAGATGAAATTGATCTTCGCAGAAATTAAAACTACTTAGGTGGTAGTGAAAAAAGGAAAAAAAAAAACAGGCCTGTACGAGAGTTGAACTCATGACCTCTACGACACCAGTACAATGTTTAACCAAAACTACACTGCCAAAACTGAACTACTATGACACTGGCTTCGTAAAGGTTGGCCATGTTTAGTGCGCGAGTTTTATTAGAATACTCGTGGTTTGACTGTACCATTTCACACTCGTTTTGAGTATACGTGATCGAATGGCGAACATCACGTGCAGCTTTCCCAAGCTTATTCAAACATAACAAAAACTCATTTTAACAGCAGCTTTGTTATTCAAATATGTTGAGCAACCGAAATATTCCCAACAAACCGCATACATAAACAAAAGTGAATAACGGTATTTGTTGCGCAATACAAGTTGCACTACCAAGAACCGGCTTCAAGCGTCAGGCTATTTTATAGAAGCTGGGAGCTGGTGTACACTGACAAAGGCCAAGTAAAGGTTATTTGTGTGACAGACGGTGAGTGCATTGCAGAGAAAAACAGTGGTCACATGTGTAGTATTTACGAAAAGGTTAGGTCAACTGATCACAATGTGCTGGTCGTCTACGTATGCCATTTTAAATCCCTACTGATCGCACTCCAGCAATATCTGAACATACACAACAGTGAGAACTGACCGCATAATTATTCACCTTAAACCTTCTTTTTCCGGTTTTTGACCATTTTGAGTAAGCACATTTATCTCATCAATTCGTAGCCACAATCTCCTGCGAAAAAATTCTGCCCAGTTTTTATATCTTTGGTGATCATGACCAAACGGAGGCAGATTGCTCAGTGTGTCAGAGTCCTGAGCAGAGCGAAGGAGGGAGAGGAAACAGGAAAGAAACGAAACGAAAGAAACTATATCTGTGTTCATCCAAATGAAACTGTTTTCAACCTGATTTAAACCTCAACGGCTACATCGACAATCGGTTTACTTTCCGCAAGAAAACAAGTTATATAAGTAATTCACCCTCCACTCTGGGGTTGGGCTTCGGTTATCTAGGTTTATGAGAGGAATTAAATCAGACTTAGGAACAAAACTGAGAAAAAAAAAAAAAAAAAACGGTTGCATAATATTGTTAGCGATCAAGTGTGCCATTCCTATCATTCCTTGGTAAAACGCACCGGAACTTTGCGACCTTTGCTGCCTACCACGGTTGGTGAACTCATTGTATTCCGACTGGGTTATCGTTCGCTTGCAGTTAGCTGCATATAAAATCCATCCAGAAACAGATCAACTTTACAACGAGACTGGTAAGTATTGACTACGCAGACCCGTAAGGTATTTAACTGTCCGCTGTCCTGATTTCAGCTTTGTTACTCGTACCACTTTATTAGCTGGAGTGTTTTCGCAATGGCGACGCTCAGTAGTAATCCGATGAAGAGATTCATTCCTATGTTTCCCAGGGCGGAAACGATCTATATCAAGAGTTGTTCTGATTTATCACGAAACTGGACCCTGCAGAATTTACCTTTTTTTTTCTTTCGTGTTTTCCATTCAAAGGCATTCTAATTTATTCAGCCCATTCTTACTGCTGACTATTTAAGATTCATACATATGAAAACTACAGTGATCTAACGATAGGGAGGGAATTATCGAATCTGTAGTTTCTGTTTAGCCGTAGACTATTAATTGACAAGGAAGTTACAACATAACAGTATTCTATCCTCGACATGAAGTAAGTTAGTGGCCTAACTCGCGATGCACCGACCAGCAAACTTCTGAACCGTATCGTAGATGAATGCATAAATCAAATCCCACGCAGTGATTTGGTTGACTAATTTGAATACCGAAGCTATGATTTAAGATTAGAACAAGGAGGAATGCGGAAAGAAACGTATTAATTCAAAATTAACTAGGAATCCAAGACTTTGTAGTCCACAGCAAGTCGACTAAACGCTTAGGCATATGAGATTGTACATAAACCAACAACCATAAATTCATTTGCGCAGACTGGTGTCATTAAGAGCAGGAATCAGGAACAGGAACGAAGGGAAAGGGAAAAGTGGCCACGACAAATGAAAAGGAATGGTGGTGATGGAAAATGAAAATACATTCGCATTACTTAAATGTATTAGACATATTTTCGATATCGAGACAAGATGGACTTCAAATTTTCTTTTTTTTAGTTAATAAAGGCGACGAAAATTCAATTTCTTACCAACTTCACCGATCGATCACGTCTAGTTTGACTCGATCAGCTAAAAAAAAAAAAAGGATTTTAGTCTTTGCGTCGAATTATAATCTGTTCTATAGCTATTTTGATGCCTTTCTATTTTAGGTTGTGAAGGGGTAGTTTCCTTTCTTAGGGGTGCCGATGAAAGAGACATTCTTTAGGCTTAAAGTTGGCATATTCGACCCGCGGACTGAGCATCATTATGTCGTTCGCTCTCGGCTGTTCGCAGGAAAAAACTTCGAGGACTTTTCGAAGCGTGAATCTTGTTTACGACTGTCAGTTTTTCTTTTTTTCCGTTTTCAATGACCCATTCTCGTTTTATTATCATCTAATACCGCCGCCGGCATCGAATATACACACATGCATTCGAAAGGAAGTCCATTTCCTGTTGGAGAGCCCCATACAAAATATCACGATATGGTTCGGAGACGAGTCACGCACGTTAGCATTAGAAATATGAACTAACTTCAGTTGCACTGATTTGCAATATGAGAAAGGCATTCTAAGAATGATATCATCGAGAGAGAATTTCTGGCCATAAGAAAAATCTAAACATTACCCCCTGTAGTATCCTCAGTGGTACGATAAGAAAGGTATCAATGATTTCACCAAACAAATACTGTATTCGCCTTAAGAAGCTCAAGATTTAATCATCTTCCGCATGGGGTCCCACTGGATGTGTAATACTAATCCTTTGAGCCAGGCCAGGGGAGAAGGGCTTAACTGAAACCTGCTTTAAGGCAAAATGCAAGTTATGTTTTTCATTTGAATGGTTGGCAAAATCTACTATATGTAAAATACATTTCTATGGATTAAAACAAAAAAAGTGAATCACAGACATGCACATAGTATGAATTCAATCAAACACAAGTATAGACAGTTTTCAGGCATATTGAAAATCTGCTTTAATACTTCCTTACTAGGTAAAAGCTTTTTTTGGGAGGGGTGAGAGGGGTGCCCTTTAAATTATCAGGGGCGGGGCTTGTCGGAAACTTGAAGTTCCTGAGGACAGGGAATTTAGAGGAGAGAACTTTTTAGTGCGTACGTCCGTTGGATTGTTTTTGCAAGGTACGCTGGCGTATTATCACCATTCATCGTTATTGATTATAGCCGTATACTTAACCTATTCACTTTTTCAAAATTCATTTAATTGAAATGGTTTTTGGTCGCAAAATAACTATCATTTAGCCGTATCAAAAACGAACACGTATATGGTCATTTCATGCGAGAAAGTCACCTTTTGTCGTGAATATAATCCTTTCAATAACAATGTTCAACGAAGCGAACCACTCACGATGTCACGCAATTTTTTAATATTTTCTCTGTCATTCTACATAGACACGTAAAAGCATCTTCAAGGATCAAGAGATCAGAAAATACATATAAGTTTCACAATAACCCTTTGCAAACTCATGCAAATATGGGACTCCAAACTCGCCAATGGTAACAAATAAATATGTGCCATGGGAAGACAAACATCCTTTCTTTGTAATGGTCAGTAAGTTTAAGGTCCTATAGTTTCAAGAGTTTGCAATATTTTCTCGCAAAAAAATTCAGATTCAAACTTATATCTGATCAATTGATCAGTTTTTTCGTTTGAGTTAATCGTTGTGAAGGCGTGACACCGCCTAAGTTCGATCAAAGGTCGTTTAGCATGCTTCATAGCGTGTCTATGTAAGTAATTCGCTTTTTGTAACATTCCTCTCGTGCACGGGATTACGGGATCACGGGATCTAAAAAAGCAATTGTTTCTTGAAGCATAACTTCTTTCGTGCTTTGTATCAGTGTATCGAGGCTTTCCTCAATGAAGTAACTCATTTTCGTCCAAGAAGACGGACAAGTTGTGATTAGTCGCAGCCTAAGCTTGAAACATACGCGATCGCTAGAAAGTAAACCTTAGGGCTGAAGCTCATTGAATACTACGATCTGCGGTGAATGTTAAATCCGTGCGAACCGGCCGCGGATTAACACGTGTAACTACCGACAGATCAGTAGGTAAACGTGATGCCTACTCTGATACTTTAAAACTAAGTACTGCCTCAATGGTGTACGTAATGTACGTTATCGAAACCACGTTGTGGTTCTAGCATTTGTTCTCTCGAGTTTGTTTATATTGCGTTTGCTGTTCTTTTATTACAACAGGGATGGATCCTTCAGTGCGAGATGATAAATCAACCGACTTTCTGACTCATAAATCTAAAGAAGACCTTTCTCATGAACCTAATGGAAAGTCTTCCACCGACATCGGGACAGCCGAGAGCGGCGAAGGAGGCAAAGAGCAACGTGAGACTTGGGGCCACAAGGCTGAATTCATTCTCGCCACTGTTGGTTTAGCTGTCGGTTTGGGAAATGTTTGGAGGTTCCCGTACCTTTGTCAGAAAAACGGAGGAGGTGAGATCACTTTTCTTCCAGTTACAATTTCACGTGGTATCATGCTTATAATACTATTAGGGTGGCGATTATAACAACTAACGGTCGATCAACTTTGATTTACGCCCTGATCGGTCCCCCCTGGAGGCTCTCTAATGAGGCGCCTCTCAGACTCGACTAAATAGACCACAGCCGTTGTTATGGATTCCAAAAACGTTTGAGAACTTAAACGTCGAGACTCTTAGAAGTTTCGCAGCCTTTTAACACTCTCAAGCTTTGTCACATTATCGATTTCGGTCGGAATAGGATCAATGGAATTCGCGTGTTGTAGTTACAGTGACGTGACATTCTACGCACGCGATATGTGTTCCCCAAGAATTCGGTACAATTTCGATTATTTATTAACCGAGGAAAAGTCAATATTCAAGCAATTAATATAGATTAGATTACGCAACTCAACAGCGGTTCTGTCCCACTGCGACGACAAACCACCGTTCAACCAAAACTACAAATGCAATACGCTACTGTCCGTCACATGTCAATAACACCGAATAAATTATGTCATCTGGGCGACAAGCTTTCAAGTCGTCTTGCATAATTTCGCCAAAACTAATGGGCGCGAAAGTTGCTAACGTCCGTGTCCTCATGACGAGTTCTATGTTTATTTATTAATTCGACCTTCACATACATTTTAGAATAACTGGCGTTTCTTGCAATCTGATCGACCCTCAACTGAGTGATTTATTCATGAGTAGATCTGAAACGCCTTGACACGGTACACTGAAACAAAACGACAAATCAGATTTCAGAAGTGCAATCACTGACAAATCAGCTTCTTTAAGACGTAAAAAGGTACTGGCCAAAATCTTCAATTCAGGGCCTCTTTACATGGAAAGGTGAATCGCCTGGCCGTGGTCAGAAAATAGCCCGCGTTTACATAGAATCTTACAGCCCCGGGATGCCGGGGTGAAGTTTCTCGAGGTTGTTATCGCACTTGCTATTAAGGAGTTTCAGATGTCACCACGGCGGCGTATGGTAAAACGTTGCCGAAAGAATGTAATTAATTTTCGAAGATTTTAGCCACTAGCTCGATGCGTTAACCGTTTCTAACGGTACAATGTCTTCACTTCGGCACAACATGCGAATGTAGTGATGAGTTCAAAGTAAAAACGTGATTAATTCGTTGTCGAGGTTTCATTGCTAAGAGGACGTAAAAATTGGTGTTGTAAGGTATTTAGCTCAGCATGGAACGGCTAGGAAATTTAAAAAGTTTGTTTCACTCGTGTTTCACTTTTGCTTAGCTCATTTGATCTTGTGGTAATATGAGCACCACCCCGGCTAGGCAGGTTATCCGACTTTCGCACGTTTACATGGCAAATTGTTCCTCCGGCTGACAGGGTTACCCTACCCAGCAGACCAGACAACCCACCAACGCGGGTCATCTCACCTGTCATGTAAACGTGATCAAGATAAAATGAGAGACTATATGGACAGGCAGGTTACCCCAGGGGTCCCCCACCTCCACGTAAACAGGCCCTAAGTTATTAATGTTTTCAAATTCCAACTGGACATATTGCTTCACACTGATCAAAGTAAATTGATTAAGTTTAAGACTGTTCTTTTTCATACTTCTTAGACTCATTTGGTAGCTACTCTCATTCAAACAGGTTTCTTCTGTATCAAAAAAAACAACAACAACAACAACAATAACTTCAAACACTAGCAGTAGACTAACTGTGCTGGGAGTGGAAACATCCTAGACACTGAAGAGCTGACAGCTCAAGGGTACACTTTTCGAGTCTTTTTTTTTTATTATGCACCAATCAGATCGTTTAAGGTATGCATCTTGTACCAATCAGATCGCCGCATTTGAGTATGTATCTCGCACCAATCAGTGTCATTTTTGATCTTTGGTTTGAGAGATGTTCAAATTTCAATGAAGTAATGGGGGATTTGGAGAGAGCGATTCGTAAAATAGAATTATCTATTAGAAGAAATGTTGGCTTTTCTTTATTTTTAACATATTTTACTACGCTTTAAGAGAAATACAATACTACTGGACAGATGAAAGATATCAGATACCTATAGTAAATGTGTTACTCATGCTGTGAAAATGAAGGATAGTTGTTCAAGAGAAAAATGGAGTTCTGTGCACTGTAGTGTGATCATGGTTATTGTTCCTTCACAACAAGAGAGTGGGGAAATTTTGAAGCAAATATTGCTTGAGATGTTGACGAATTGCACCAAACATTTTGATTTGAGCAGTTCTTTAACAGCAAGCTGTGTTACAAGATTCATGATTTGTTGAGTGTGCCAATTATGTTCTTCTGGATTGGTTTGCTCAGTGCTATCTCTATATGAATGTCTGATTAAAATTATCTATGGACAATTTTGTGTATGTTTTCAATGCCTGGGGGAAGTGATCTTGTGGAGTCATTTGTGTTTGGCCAAGGATGAATTCAGATACCATCGTTAGCATGTTTATTTGATTTTGTTACCTGGAATAAATGTTTTATGGAGGTAAGTTAATATGATGTGATCTACTAACATCGAAAATATATCAAGTCAAAGGAACAGTTTTGGTCTCGGTCCGCATATTTGTCAACAAAATAAACACAAACTGCTTAAAAAGATGATAAAACGGAAAATGTGCAAAGCTGTCAATTGTTTCTCGAATGTTGCGCATGTTAAATATTCAATAGTGACTTCTCATTTACATCTACATCTACATCTATTTTTATTACATTGGTAAAACCTGTACAGCCATCACACTAACCAACTCGTGTGCAAAGTGAGAAGACTATATGAAGGCTTAAAATTATATTACAATCAATTTTCATCAAGAAATGGGTCAGGAATATTCCACAATAGTGCAAATAATCTTGAAAACTGATCGCGGAAAAGCAATTGTGTGACACTTGGTAAGTGATAAGATGACATGTTATCACATACCAGACAAAAAAAACTCTTCAGATTCTCAGTCTGCATTTGTACCCACTCTGCAATCTGCATTCTACATTTTGTATCTGGTCTGCAGTCTGCAGTCTGCATTTTGTGCTTACAGGTATTTGTGGCATCAATACAGTTTAATTTTGGTTACAGTTATTCACACAATATACACAATCTACCACAAAATACCTGTGTGTGAGTTAATTCTACATTTTTGCTCTTTCTGCATTAATACTCTTCTTTCCTATTGTAAGAATGTAGACATCACCTACAATGTTTCAAGTAATCCACCCAACCCCCAAAAAATAACTCTTGCATGCACAGCATGTCTATGTTTTTTCATATGGAAACTTTGCACACCACTTAAGTTTCCAGGAGTAAAACAAGATTTTACCTGCATGTACCTCACTGAAATGTGAACACTCTTATGATCTTTTCAATTATTGCTATGGACTCCTTTTCATCATTTTATAAAAGTCAAATTTTTATTACTGGTTGCATGTTTTTACCATTAAGTAATAAATTAGAAACCTGCTAAGTCAAACTCCCAATGTAGACAAAAATTGGTTTGAGTTAGCAAGGTTTCAAGTTAGCTGATAGTAAATGACTGAAAAAATAGTGTCAAGGTAAATCTAATCTTGTTTGAGTTTGAGTTGGTGGGGTTCTCCTGTAATCAATTTTTCATGAAACTGTAATTTGATCTGTCTCCCATTACATGTAATTGGAAGGGGAGAAATCTCCCTACCCATCATTTAGCTTTAACAAACTTCAGACAAAAAAGTAAATCAGAGGGTCAGAGAAAATTCCAGCTGAGTTTGTTGATCTATGAGAACAGGTAATTTTCATCACTTATAATATCTCTACCATTCAACAGGTGCTTTTCTTATCCCTTACGTTATCTTCATGTTGATTGAGGGATTACCACTGTTCTTCCTGGAGTTAAGTATTGGTCAGAGAATGAGAAAAAGTGCTATACGATGCTGGCAGGATGTACACCCTGCCCTTTTTGGTATTGGTGTGTCATGTCTCATGGTCTCACTGATGTTGTGCCTCTATTATGTGGTTGTCATCGCTTGGTGCTGTTATTACTTCTTCATTTCATTCACCAGTACCCTACCTTGGGAACATGACAAGCTTTGCACTAACTATAATGAATTTGCAAAAATCAAAAAGACTCTTGATAGCCTGTGCAGTGCCTCCAACAAAACTTGCAAAGCCACCCCACAGTACCAAGCAGTGAATGCAAGTTATCATAATTTCCCAGATTGTTGTGTGCGAGACCCACCACAATATTACTTCTACCACCACGCAATGCAAATTTCAAAAAACATTGAAGATGCTGGAGTTGGTATGAATGGGAAACTTGCTGGATGTCTAGTGTTTGCATGGGTTATTACATATCTCTGTGTGGTCAAAGGAATTAAATCAAGTGGAAAGGTATTCTTTCTTGGCTAATTTAAAATATTTGCATTTAGGGCAATAGATCTGCAATTTTCTGCCGTAGCAATTCTCGTTTGATTTGAGACAAGACTCTATGAGACTTCTCAACGGTCAGTGTACCAGCCTCAGATTAAGGAACCAGTTAACACCAGTTGATTCAGCCCAATCTTGCTTGCCCTGCTGGCTTTTCTTCTTTCTGTGACTCTTTTTTTTTTTTTTTACTCAAAATAAGGGGCGCCCCTCCACTAGATTCACCACTGGTAGTGATGCGAAAAAACAATTGAGCTAATTATGGAGTTTCATGAATGAGTATCTGAATCTTCTATAGTCAGTTATGTTCTCTAATTTTCCTTCTAGGTTGTGTATTTCACTGCAACATTCCCCTACGTCATTCTCATCATCTTGTTCTTCCGAGGTGTTACATTGGAGGGAGCAGGAAATGGTGTCAAGGCATTTTTCAACCCAGATGTGAGTAGACTTGCTAATAGCTGAGGTCCCTTAAACTGTAAGCCTAATGTTCTGTTTTCATTATGTTACAGTGGAGTTTGTTGAATAATGCCGATATTTGGAAAGATGCTGCCACCCAGATGTTCTTCACCCTCAGCTTAGGATTTGGTGCACTTATAGCATTTTCCAGTTATATGCCTCTTCACAACCAAGTGATGCGTGATGCCTACACAGTGGTATTCATCAACTGTGGCACATCAGTGTTTGCTGGAATTGTAGTGTTCTCTATTTTGGGATATAGGGAACATGTCACAGGCATCCCAGCTACTGAGGTAGGATATTATTTTAGATAACACTGACAACAGGCATGATTCCTTTGTTTATAAACTGTATTTTCTTTATTACAATGATCACATTTGTGATTAAGTTACCATGTGTTCAGCTACCAGGACTGCAAATATTCCAGAATTAAAATGTTATGTGGCTAAGAAAAGACTCCACAAGATTTGCCTTAATTACTACTGTTGGGATAATTCTGGTTGGATATTGAGTTTAAGCTATCTTGTTGTGTAAAAGTTCTCTGGACAAAATTCAGTCTCTTTAAAAAGTGGTTGATCCCACAGATTATCTATAAATGACCAAGCCATGATCATGGAAGTCTCAATTGAGGTTTGATTGGTGTAACTGTATTTCTTTTAACAAACAGGTTGGGTCTGGTCCAGGTCTTGCCTTCATGACCTTTTCTGATGCCATTCTTTTGATGGATGTTTCACCACTCTGGGCCATCCTGTTCTTCTTCATGTTGATTCTTCTTGGTATCGACAGTGAGTTTGGCACCCTGGAAGCAGCCATTGGTCCTATCATGGAGCTGAAGATTTTCCCCAACATGAGGAAGGAACTTCTTACACTTCTAGTTGCAGTGATTTTATTCCTGTTTGGTTTGTGCATGGTTTCTGGACCTGGTTTCTACATTTTCCAAATGTTTGATGATTACTCTGTCACCATCCCATTACTTGTGATTGCTTTGTTCCAGTGCATTGGAGTGGCATGGGTTTATGGTAATGACAGGTATGGCACAACTTCCACTGGCATTTTTTAATGATAAAGTAGCCCACTGAATTAATACTACATAAAGAACACCAGTGAGCTAAGAGGGTATATCTAACCACTACCAGCGCTAATACTGCTGACTAATGAGACTGTTATTATGATCAAGTTGATATTCCTAAGAGAAACATTTGTCACAAAAGAAAAAAGGTAGATATATCCTCCAAAATCATGACCTGCATGAATAATCAAAGTGTTATCTTACAAATACACATAGGCATAGCATTTTAATTTTTGTATGCATGCAAATAGGTTTGCAGATGACATTGAATTCATGACTGGTAAGCGACCATGGATTGGCTGGATGATCTGCTGGAAATACATCTCCCCACTGGCTTTGTTTGTAGTTCTTGTTGCCCTAATTGCCCAACAAAGCCAAAGTGCTCCAACATACTCCAAATTTGTTGGATGTACACAGGTATGGCAGCTGGCTAGAAACTGTACTGTTTTTTGTTTTTCTTAATCATGATGCAAGATTTAAACAAATTTGTGCACAGTGAGCAGCCCTCATTTACCTGAAATTAAGGCATTGTGATAGTATCAGTCATTCAACCTTGACTCCTACTTGAAATGTTGAGCTATAGGCTACCAAGGGGACACGGTTACTAAGAGGTTAGGCATTGGGATAATGTGATGCCATCAGGCAGAGACTGGCATACAGATTTCCCTGCATATTTTGTTTAAAAAAGAGGAATAGCGTGACTGTTGTATTCCTTACATTTAGGACCCCTATAGTGGTGCTGGGTCAGACAAATGGACAGTAAGGGAAAAATACCCTGACTGGGCAGTGTTTGTTCTTGTGATGATTGTGCTTGTCTCTACTCTGCCAATTCTCATCTGGATGATTAAGGATTGGCCAAAGAACTGGCGTCAAGGCTTCCACAAAACATTCTGTACTGGTGTCAACAATTACCTGCCAGATCCTAAGAAGGAAGAGATTCCAGGAGATGCAAAAAGGGGTTCCAGTAACTATGGCATTGAAGGAGGCAATGTTATGTAAATCAACTGTGAAATTTCAAGTAGCATTTATGTCGGTTATTATGTTACACACTGTTAAATGTGAATTAAGAGTGCAAAAAGCTGCTGATGGGGGTAGTCATAAAATCAATCACAATTTTTAGCTTATAACTGGGTAACCCTGATGTTGCTTAAATTTTTGTAAGCTTTGTAAGAAAATTGTCGTTATAGATGTATGCATATTCTTTAGATGTCCTTAAACATATTAGATTGACAAAGTTTTTTCACTCAGACACAAAATTGTATTGTTGAGAGTTTAACCCAATTAATTCAATTTAACCATGCCTTGTAAGAGTTCAAGCACATCTCTCCAGTTTTCATCTTTGTACAATCACTGGGTTTGGGGAAAAGTAGAGCAATTTACAGACTTGTCTTGTATCTGGAAAGTTCAAACAATTTCTCATATATATATTTTTTAAAATCTGAGTCAAAAGGTCCATTTAGCATTATTCTAACAACATTTTGTAAATTGGCAATTTCTGCACATCAAGTTATTTTTTTTGGTGAAGTCACACATGTTTTAATTAAAAACTACAACTGTTCATAGTAGTTTCCTCCTTTTTCAGCCTTTTGCTCTTTTAATTGTTATCAGAGATTTTGAAGATTCAGCAATGCAGTTCGCATTCATCTACGTTTCCATTGCACCTTCAACTGACATGGTTACAACAGAAGGACTAAGACTTTTTAAGTAAAGAATCAGTGCAAAACTTGACCAAACAAAGGATAGACATGAGCTATCTTTTCACTTTAATGGATCCCTACAGGTGGCCTTTATGGCACAACACACGTTTTATCAAAGTCATACCTTTCATATGCGTGGGGTAGGGGGTAAAGTGCCAATCTAGTTATCTAAGGTCAAAATTTGCACACACCTTGCACAACCTTTCTCTTTCTTCCCTCTATCTCTACTCGTCGGGCTCCCGAGAAAGAATCGTTGTCGATCGATTGTCTGGTCTATAGAGCGCATGCGTAGAGTAGGGCATCTGTGCGGTCGCTCAGCGCTCTGCACTACACTAAGCAGAGGTTGTTGTTTGAAAGGCTGAAAGTCGGATTTCATGACTTCAAGGGAGCTGAAATCACGCAGAAACGAACACGCCGTTCGCGGTAGAACCACACGAAAAGAAGTTGAGCATTTTCGGAACGGGTCGGTCCGCATGCCTCACGAGAGATCAACTTACGAGCGAACATATTTGAGTGAACCTATCGAGAATCATATACCAAATGAGCTATCAAATCTTAATCTTGATAAAAAGCATCTTCAGAAGCGTCATCGTATTTTTAGACGTGATCTTGAACCAAGTAGAATTCCAGTACGAACTCTACTAAGTCTGAGAAACAAGAGCAGAAAGGTTAGAGAATTTGTTTTCAAATGTATTTGTTCGAGTACACACTAAGTCTTCGAAAACGTATTGTTATATTAAAGGCTTAGAAACATAATCCTAAATCCTTTGAGACAATACGTAAAAGTTTTAATAAAGTTAAAATCTCGAAGTAGACGGTATTGCTCACTATTTTCTGGTAACATGGTTGTGTGCCTTCACAAGAGTCAAACCCACGTAGCAAATTATAAATTTAAGCTGAGCACAGATATCGAAAAGAACCCTAGCCTTCGCCTAGCGTATGTTGATCATATAGCCCATATAGCATGTTGATCATGTTGATGTATGTATGTATGTATGTATGTATGTATGTATGATGTATGTTGATCATTTAGCACCATATAGCCGAAGTCATGAGTTGATATACGGACAAAATGCTGAACAACAATGTTTTGCAATGAGTTTGTGCTGCTTGATTTAAAACAACAAACAATTCTGCAAATGCTCATTCAAATAATGAATATTGGAAATCAGTTGTATTCAAGGTTGTCTCAATTAGCCAGACAGTCCTAGTTAATGCAGAAACAATTACCTCATAATATTAAATGTGGTTGATGCTGACCATGAACTAGAATACAGTGAAAGTTACACTGGTACTGTACATTAGGAGACTGAAATAGAAGGATATCAGTACTGCACTTCTTTACAAAGAGCCTTTGAATCACTATTATCTCAAAACTACATCAATTTTATATCAACTGTGGGAGTTAAAAGTGTTTCTATTTACTGTAATGTTGATATGGGGTTCAAAGTATGATTCTCATGCAAGGGATGTACATGGTAGAGGCCATCCCCAAGGTACTTGTGCTTCTTGAAGCATTATCACTTGAAAGATTAGTATGTTATTTTCAGAGTATACATAACAATGATATATTTGAGGTGAAGGGGGTACACATTAATTAATGAAGTTCAAAATGATACAGTACTTCCTCTGAACAATGCACAAGAGAGCATAAATTTCAATCTAAGTTGTGTTGTGACCATCTACTATCTCTGCTACTCTCTAATTAAATCATTTAGTAATTGGAATTCAAACACTTTGGCTACTATTGTAGAAAACAATAGAACCATCAAAGAAGAAGGAAAACAAGGGATATGACAAATAAACATGAGCTGAAGATGAAACAATTACAAAAGTACAAAATAATGGACACTGCTACAAAACAAAATCTGCAAGACAAAAAAGCAGACCAACACAAAACAATGGATACTGCGAAGAAGCAAAAACTTCTTGAGAAATGCAGAGAGGAATACAGTTACTGTTGTAGTAAGAAGACAGTGGATTCATGTGTGGAACAGTTTAAAAAGAAAATAAGGGAAAGTCCTTGTTATATATGTTTTGTATGTAACACATCACTTTATAAAACATAGGCATGTGTAGCATGCAAGAGTAATTTTTTTGGCTGGGTGGGTTGAGATTGGACAGTTTGTGTACTTAATGTTTTTATTTTTGTAACCGAAAATGGCACAATTTTCAAAAGAACCAAAATATAGCAGAGAGACAGAGAAAAAAACCTAATTTATCTGAACTCACATGGATATTATGTTTATTATTGTCTAAATACCATACTTCTAAGTAAAAATGAAATACTTTGGTGCCGTGCTTACTGTTGTCTCCTTTGCAGCTGTTGTTTGGTCTCATCGCACAATGCCCTCTATTTCCCATTTAAGAGAGAGCATGACTGGCTGTTGCCTCTCTGGACTTTTCCCTCTGTGTATGGAATACGTGATAAAATGCAGGTTGTTTTACAAGGAATTAATGTGCAATTGAGTTAAGTCCAAGGTAGCTAAACGCAAATTTTATTTGAACAAAAAGTCGAAATGAGGGAGAATTGCATAGAAAGTTCACTATCAATAGCATTTAGTTCCATGTCAATTTTTTTTCCAGTGGGCTTGGACAATGCAGTCAGAATACATGATAAAATGCAGGTTGTTCACAAGGAAATGACATGTGATCGAACAAAGTCTAATGTGGCAATGTGGAATTTGATTATGAAAAATTTCCCAATGTTCATGTGGTGCAATGATTGGGTAAGTTCTAATTGGACTTTGGACATTCTTTTCATGGTATGTGGTGGAATGTGAGCTGTTTGGCATGTGCATTGGGAGTAAAAAAGTGGAAAAACAGATTTATCTTAAAAATTTAGATGTGAACTTTTCTTATCCCGATAAATCTTGACCTTAATTAATGAGGCTCTCACAAAGGCCACAAACCATCACACTTAACAAATGAGCCCAAATTTTCTGGTTAATGTCATTCTTTGTGCACAGACCCCTGATCCATGACATAATTTACAAGAAAACAATACCCAAAGGCTGTGATTGGTGCAAGATATCTAAATGCTATGATATGATTGGTGTGAGATACATTCACAGATGTGGCAATCTGATTGGTGCGAGATACATACCCTAATTCAGCAATCTGATTGGTGCAAGATAAATACTCTAAAGCAGCAATCTGATTTGTGCAAACAACACACCACTCTATACACTAACATAGAGTTTTTTAATTTTATTTTTTTAAATAATATTTCAAAAATATGTCTTAAAATTGAACCCAAGTAGCTACCCTTATCAAGATGTTTTAAAATACAATCATCATATCATGGAAAATAATATGTCTGCAAGACCTGTCACTCAAAAACCATACAAGGAACAATTCCATGTCAGGCAATCGTGAACAATTTAAATGTTGACGATGTATTAACTGAGTTTGGAAATCTTTAAAAACTGGAACAAACAATAATTGCACAGCGCAACGTATTTAGTCCAGTCGCAAATGTACATAATTTAAGTCCTGAGGGAATTTCGCGCAGAAAGCAAGCCACTGCACTAGATATGTTAATGGGACCCTAAATAACGGGAAAAATCTTGTTGCCACTTTTGCAACCTGCTCCAACGCTTTTTAGAGGATGTCTTATAAATGCCCCTACAGACCCTGCATGAAAATGAGGCTACTTCATAAAACAACTTATAACTTCGTTTATTATGGGCCATAAAGCACCAAGTAGCACCAAAGATATAAATCTACGTTGTCGTTATCATAACTGCATGTTTAGTGACTGAGTCACAAGATTAGTCACGTGACTAGGAGAGCATGGAAGTGAGGTTGGTCTTCTAAAATTTCCCTCGACATTCCTACAACGTCTAATTAACAAATAGAGAAGCCTTGACTGTGCTCCATTCTGTTAAAAAGCACGCAGGAAGCGGTCAGAGCACAAAAGAAGTGTAGGGAGAAACACACGTAGTCTCCCTACTTCTTGAACACTGAATTTTTTATACTATACGAGTGTTAGATGTGTTTGATTTTTATTACCGTACGCAATAATAATAATAATAAAATCTTTATTACCGTGTCAATGTATTTAGCTCATAGAGCTAATTGGGGACACCTACTATTAC